AGCATCGAGAGAGAGAGGGAGAGCAAGGGAAACATTGAGCATAGAGGGATCTTTTGTTCAACATTTGACCATCTCGGTCGAGCGCATGAAGCGAAATGATTGTGCTTTCGTATATTTTAGTAACCGAAACCTAAAAGTGAGGAGCCGAGCGAATACGAAGTTGTCTGGGGTGTTAACGCTCGAAAAAAAGTGTGCAAAACGCTTTACACTACGTGTCCGGTCTATATGTTCTCTGGTTAGTGGTTATATTCATAATTTGAAAGTTTCATGAAAATAGTCCATCCACAAAAATGTTATTAAACAATTAACTTCCCATAGTAAGCCAACACGGCAGCCAATACGTGCTTATTCGTCTGTGTGTGTGCGTCTTTGGACTTGGGTGGTAAACCCGCGTATATATACCAAATTTCAGGTCTCTAGTTATAATAATACCCAAAATATAGCAGAATTCGAAAAATCGGTATATCTTCAGGTCCGATTTGCCACGCCCTTAGTAGGCGTAGATATATATTTTATTTATTTTTCACTCATCTTATTAGAATCAAAACATCAGCTCACATGCAAAATTTTAGCATTCTAGGTTTACAACTTTAGGAAATACAGTTTTATCCGATTTTCCACGCCCCCAATGGGCGGAGATATATACGCCATAGCTTGTGATCTTGGGTCATCGACGCGGACCTACATACCTAATTTCAGCCTTCTAGCTCTTCAACTAACATGATCTGGTATATCGGAAAATACATTTTCCGATTTTGCACGCCCCTAGTGGGCGGAATGTACGCACTTCACTTTCGTGAATGAGTATAATAAATTATACATGTAATTTGAAGATCCTGTTTTCCCAATTTTAATGACATTATGGTCTGCTTTTTGTTGCGCACTGGAGACCTGGACGTTGCTTTATATACTCGAACTGACAGAGTTTGGGCTGTGAATGAGTATTCTGCAATTGGTATCGCCCGACTGCATCCTGCTTATCGAATATTTACTCACTTTAATAACATGAAATTAAAAGAAATCAATTTTATTGAAATATTTTTTAATTTCTATATTATTTTTTTATTTCGTTGTAGGATGGAAAAATTTCAAATCAGGAATTCAAAGATGCTGTTAAAAAAACCTGTGTGGGAAAAAAATATGAAGAATTTCCACAAGTAAGGCTTATATACCTACCGCAATTCAACTTAAAAATCAGTAAATAAACTTATTTAATACTATCCTTTCTATACAACTTGTTATCAATATGTTTGAGAGAGAAAACAGTTTTGTCAAGACAAACAGCTCCCATATCGCAGCTAGTTTTGGTGGCCGTCCACTTCTTAAACGGTCGACATACCCTATTGTACATAGAACTCGTATTGTTTGTTCAGGGGCATCGAAACACACACGCACAAGTACGAATGCATTCAGAAAGGGAAATAGACACGTAGGCAGAAAGCACGATTACAGTGCACGTCATTATACTTGCTACTACTTACTACATTTTTAATGGGATATCAGGGTATAATGGCTTTGTTGAAATGTATGTAATAAGCAGAAGGAGGCGTGAAAGACGCCATAAAGTATATATATTCTTTATCAGGGAGACAAGATGAGTCGATTTGGCCCTGTCCGTCTGTCTGTGCGTCCATCTGTGCGTATATGAACGCGTCGAGATCAGAAGATTGAGTAGTTTTTAGTACTATCATATGAATATTAGTTTAGCCCATATTACTGATAGAAGTACCGTGCCTTTTGTGGATTTAAAAACAGGAATATTTTAAGTATTTTAGTATTAGAATAAATTAGGAAGTTACTATTATTTTGATCCTATTGTAAAACAATTTTTTATACAAATTATAAAATGTTATAGGCTCTTTCGTTTTTCATTACGGTGACTTTACTGGTACACTATAAATATCAGCCGAATATGTTAAATATTCCATTTGCTTCGAGCAAATCTTCTGTATATCGAAAATTTTAAAACATGTGAACTATTAATATCTTTGATTTATTTGAAGGCTATGCGAGCATTCATTGAATCCAATTTCAAATTACTGGATATTGACAATGATGGMATCGTTGGAATTAAGGAATACCGTTACAACTGCATTACAAGGGTAGCTATTGATGATGTTGCTCCCATTGATAAAGCGTTTGAGACTCTATTAAATGTAAGTATTTCTTTGAACAAAATAATTCAAATATATTTTAATTTTCATCTTTTCATAAGGATGATGATAAAAAACGTGGTGGTCTTTCACTGGAYCGTTACAAAGAGCTCTATGGCCAATTTCTTGGAAATACAGCTGATAATCACTCAGCAGTGAATCTGTTTGGGCCTTTATAACTATATAAATTATTATTGTCTTCGCTGTTGTTCAACTACTATTTATTTAAGATTATCGTGTAATTACTATGACTATGCTTAGCTAGGTTAAATGCATTCATATCATTTGTGTAGAATCGTCAGATGAACAATTCGTTATCTCTAATGGTTTTTATAGTTAGAATAGATATTTGCTCTCCGATGTTAACTCAGCATAATTTTTAATTTTCTCTCAGATGAAAGCTACTAAAAATGTTTCTCTCTCATAAATTTATAATGTTTAATCAAATTGTTATCCTGTTATGTTTATTACAAAAAATATGTTTGTGTAAAACCGAATAAATTGAGACGAATTCGTATATTCGAGTACAGTCTGAAAATATTGAAATATTGAAAATTCAAAGAATTCTAAATCAGAAAGTTGATGAATGTGTGATACCTACGAACCTTTATGTAAATATCGGTCGTCATTTAACTTTTATTATACCCTGAGCCCATTGAAAATGGGAAATCAGGGTATATTGGTTTTGTTAAAAGTATGTAAGAGGCAGAAGGAGGCGTGGCAGATCCCACAAAGTATATATATTCTTGATCAGGGCGACGAGCTGAGTTGATTTGGCCCTGTCCGTCTGTCTGTCCGTC